TTTTTTCTTACAAGAACATTTTTGTGTGTAAAGCTCCAATTTTCTTCTCATTTGTACGTGATGCACTGCTTCTCATTGTGATTGAGTGAAAATGACTATAACTATTAGTAGTTCAGATATTTAATTGTCATATTAATGTAGCGAATCATGTTAACTGAAATTTTTAAAAGCCATTGATCTGTGCTATTAACTTACATCTTTTTTTTTGTTGGTAACTAGATTCCAGTGGCGTTACTCTTATCTCAATTCCAAAAGGATGCTAGTGGTCAACCTGCATTACTGAGATTCTCCGAAGTTGTGAATCTTTTCCATGAGTTTGGCCATGTGGTATGTTGTCTTCTATCATTCACATAATTTCTCAGTAATAATCAGAACTTGCAATCTCCTTTGCTACATGTTATTTGTTTTTAGAAACTCTTCTCTGGTAAGCATAAAGCATTGCAATTTAAAATGCTGCACCCTCGTTACCCACCTTCATCCTTTACTGGTCCCATCTTTACTAACTCATAAATGGTTAATAAGTCTTTGACAGCCTTCAAAGGACTTTAAATAGGTCAGGAAATGCACATGTAGGGTGATGACATAGGAAAGATGGCTACTTGTGAATGGTATGAAGTGCATTACTGACAGAGAAGTTCCTCACTATCTAGTTTCTGCCTTGTTAAGATGCAGAGATTAAGGCCTTTGGCAGTGCGTTCAACAATGTTGCTCTACGAGTAGGAACTTTGCTGAAATAGGGACTTTGAGTGCAAAGGCTTTGCTCTTACGAGAAATGCCTGGTGGTAAAGTCCACCTACTTCCAAGGATCCACTCTAACTTAAGCCTGGGTGGTGTCCCTTAACTGCCACTAGCTTGCAACCTGCATACTTGTGAAGATCTAATAGTCAAATAGAATATGAATAAGTTATCGGGTCTCCTAGATGTTTTGAGAACAAAATTAGCTTTATTGAATGATGTCTCAATGATGGCATACTGGAACTTACTTTAAGTTATTTAAGTTTGAAATGATGAATCTCGAAAAGATGTTTAATTGATTGAAAAGAACCCCTGCTATAGTTAATTGATTGTAGAAAATAGAAATCGATTCAGCCTGGAACATCATTCTTCTGAGTTTGACTCCATTATCTGTAGTCCATAAATAACAGGTTCTTCTGTGAATTATAAACCTTCAGGTCCAACATATATGCAATCGTGCATCGTTTGCCAGATTTTCTGGGCTGGGTTTTGATCCAGATTTTGTAGAGGTTCCTGCTCTGGTGCTGGAGAACTGGTAATTAATGGATCATATTGTACCCTTTTCTAGGAATATGCATGGCCCAAATTAATGCTTCTTAATTGTGTAATTTTCAGGTGTTACGAAAGCTTCACTTTGAAGTTGATATCTGGTTTCCATCAGGTAACACATGTTTTATTAATATTTTTGTTTTAAATTAAAGTGGTAAATGCTTTGGAAATCAATGTGCTCTCTCCCCTTCCCAAAGGGAACCTCTCATGTTTTTTCAGCTATATTGAATGAGTTAAATTGCCTGATGTATCATATACCTTGAATTTACATGTAGGATATAACAAAGCCTATCAACAACGAAATGTGCAAATCCATTAAAAGATGGAGATATTCCTTTTCTGCGCTTAAAATGAAGCAAGAAATTCTCTATTGTAAGTACTCTAACTATAGAAGCTGCACCTCATTAATTATTCAAAGAATCGTTTTTTAGGTTGTGTTTGTTTCTTAGATAAAAAAAATTGTTAGACAGCTTTTGTCCTTGGAAAGCATTTGCTGGTAGAACCTTTTGTATTTTTATTGGTTTGGTGTTGATTTAGATCTTTCGAAAAAGTTTGTACAAAGAAATCCTGAAATGTCGAATTATCGTTTGTTTTTGGTGAAGCAGATATTTCAATTTTTAATGTAAACTTTGATTTGGATCTCTCGAAAAAGTTTGTACAAAGAAATCCTGAAATGTTGAATTATCGTTTGTTTTTGGTGAAGCAGATATTTCAATTTTTAATGTAAACTTAAAAGTCGTTATATTTTCAGGTCTTTTTGATCAAATTATACATTCTACTGAAAATGTTGACATGGTTGAGTTGTTCAAGCATCTTCATCCAAGGGTATGTAGTTGTTTCCAGTAATTTCTTTGTGAAGTTGCATTTCAGGGTATTATTGACTCTGTTTCATCAGATCATGTTAGGGTTGCCAATGTTAGAAGATGTCAATCCAGCTTCACGTTTTCCATCCAGCGCCATTGGTCACGAAGCTGCTTGTTACAGCCGTATTTGGAGTGAGGTTTGTCACCCATCCATTATTGAAAATAGTAAAGCAACATATCCTTGTTACATCGTTTCCCAAGTTTGCAATAACAATTGCCAATTGTGGTTGTATTGCCCGATTCAATGGTTACGTTTGAAGAATTTCATCCTTATCATCCGTGATTCTCCAACAACCAGCGCTGATGCCTCAAATGTTTCTTGTAGGTTTTTGCGGCTGATATATTTGCTTCAAAGTTTCATGAGAGTTATCTGAACCAGTATGTTGGCATGCAGTTCAGAAACAAGGTAAAGAAGTTGCTCGATAGAGAGAGAAGTGTTGCCAATTTTGATTTAATTTCTCCATCTCCTCATACTCGTTAATCTCCCTCAAAATCTCTTAATTAAGATCGAAGTAGTCTAATCCCGTTTGGTTTATTTCGTTATTATTGTCCTTGTAGGTACTGGCCCCAGGAGGGTCAAGGGAACCCATTGAACTGTTAACTGGCTTTCTTGGGAGAGAACCATCAATTCAAGCTTTTATCGACAGCAAATCACAATACCGATTGTGAATGCAGACGGAACTTTGCCTACCCTATTCTCCGATAAGGCAAGATCATCTTGCGGTTTTGGTTTCCGGTAACATTATTCAGTATCACCTCTTGTGTTTTTCGTCAATCTTCGCAGCGTTTGCAGCGGCAACGAGTTTTTCTGTTGAGGTTAGGGCTAGACTTGCGGTTGTAGGTTGCTTAAGTTTAGAGCATTGCAATTTTGGTCGCTCCAGAAAAGCCAGCAACTGTCGTTCTTGTAATTATTCGTCTCTCTTTAATATGGAAGACTTGTTACTTAAGCCACGACCCCTTCCTGTTCATAACTAAAAACTTATTTGCATTCTATTGCATTCAAATTAATCAATAATTTAGTATTTAGTATTTTAAAATGTGTTGATACACAAAATCAGTGAAGACTTTGGAACAACGTAAAGTGTCAAGTTTGTGACATTCGTTCGGTTGCTCCGGTCACTTAGTGATGATGATGTGTAAAGAGGTAGAGATAGAGAAGCAAACACATAATGTACGTGGTTCGTCCCAAGTCCGACTACTTTCACGGAGCAGAAGAGTTCTCATTAATAGTGAAAGGTTTACACAAATACATAGGTTTAAACATAATTATCATTAGTGGGTTTTAATGACTAGTTTAAGTACAATAATGACATTAGAGATTCATTGTAGGAGAATGATCTTTTTTTATAGTTAAGCAGAGTCTTTAGCTTTTGTCCGCGGTCGATGTGAGACTCGATGAGTTTTATTATGATGTTGACATGTGTCGCTCTATGATTGGCCTTCTGGTTGGAGGGAAACTCTTGTGCTTCAGTAGCGGTGCTTCAACATGAACCCCTCAGTGGATTCTTGAAGGTATGATGTTGACTGGTGTTTAGTAGTTTCGAGATTGATAAAGTATGGTACAAACAAAATGAAAAAATTATGGGCATTATTAGAATTTAATCACAACTTGCCATGTCTGACTATCCAGAAGAACACCTCGTGCTTGACGGTTGACTTGGTGTAGCACTGTGAGTTGAAGATTGAATATTTCCTCCTACTCCCGGTCTAGGTGTCAGAACACGGGAAAAATGCTGTATGTCATTATACAAGTAAAGAAAAACTTGAAAAAAAATAATAATTTGTATAACAACATATGACTACCTTACATTTCGGCACATTGAAAAATTACTTTCCTTTACTTATACATATGTCATACCGTTTCGTATTCTTGACACGTTTGAAAAAACTCTTTCCGCCACTCTTTTTCTCTCTCTTGAGATAGGTGAAGTATAACTATGTGACAATTATTTCTTGTTACTTTTTTCTTTTTCATTATAAAGAATTCTATGGTGTTGGGGAGACTAGTTCATCATGAAGTTGGACTTTGGACGGCTAAGAGTGGCTCGTTCTGACCCGCACAGCGAAATTAGGAAGCAACATCTCATTCTTGGATTAGGTTTCTAAGGTTAAAACATATACCATCACTTAGTGCTACGATTTTATGCTATTTTTTTTTAACTTGTAAATGTTCGATTCTCATTAAAGATGAATTTGAATCACATTTTTATTAGCTTATTATGAGGTCAAGTCTATCATCTCTCCTTAGTTTATACACTATCAATTCTAAAAGAATCAAATCAACTACCACTTTTTATTATTATTTTTTATTTTTTTATAAGTACAATGATATATATAAAGGGAGAAGTAAAAAATGGTGAAACATTCATAATTCCAAAATTGTCATCTCCCATTAAATATACAAATAAAATAGAAATTCACAGAAAAAAAAACCCACTCCTGTAGCTAACTTTATTTTTTTTAAATATATTACTTTATTTTTCTGTTTTTTGTTTTTTCAAATGAAAAATCAAAAGAGTCAATTGCCACATGAGTACTTGTGTGGCAAGATGGCTAGTTTTAAATTAAGATAAATCTAATTTGATATCGAATTTGATAGACATGAAATTTAAATCTAAAATCTTTTATTTATAAGTGAAGAAAAATACTATCAGATCAATAAATGATTTGATTTCTGGTATCACTTATTAGATTATGTACTTTTAAAAAAAACGACCCAAAACAATATCCTAATTTCAGAAGAAAAAAAAAGAAAGAAAGAAAAAGACCCGGTACGGTATGGAATGGGTGCGTACTAAATATGCGGGCCCGTGTATTTTGGTTTTGACTTGACTTTCCAAAGAAGCCCAGAAAGGAGTCGAAGAAAAGCCAGAGAGAGAGAGAGAGAGAGAGAGAGAGAGGCAAAGGTGAATATAAACTGAATTAATCAAATCAGCAGTGGAAAAGTAATGATAAAACCTCAACAATTATTTATTTGATTTCTTCGGTCAACAAACTACAACGAGAATGAAGGTGGATAATAACGAAGGCCGAGTCCCTCCCTTGGTATACTCGTAAGTGTTGTCACCCAACCCTGAAATTCTTCGTTCTTCTCATCTGGGTAATTGTTTATTCTTCCTGTTTGCATGTGCTTTTGCTTCTTTTTTTTTCCTTTAAATTTGTAGCTATTCAATTTGTTTTTTGAGCATTGGGAAATAATGTGGTGATTGCACACTCTGATTTTTGTGTTTTTCCTCTTTTGATTTGGATGAACAGGGCAGGGAGTTGGGATTCGTGAATTGAGTCTGGAAAATTTCTGTTGATTTTTTTTTTTAGTTTAGAGTGGATTTTGGCATCTGGGTTTTGGATTTTTAGCTGAAAGTTTGAATTTTTGTGGCGTGTTTTTGTTTTTCCTAACAAGGGCAGAAGGCTAAAGGGGAGTTTGTTTGTTGGGTGATTGAGATTGGGAAAATAAGGGCTTGGTGTGATCTTTTGTGTTAGATAAGCGGGTCGGGTTTTAGTTTTCGGATGAAAAGGGGGGTTCTTGGCCCCCTTTAGTGCATTGTTTTCAGAAATACAGGCATAGAATTAGCTTCTGGGTAGCCTAAGATTATAATTGTTCACGAAAGCTGTGTGATTCAGTCGGCCGGGAGTGGTTTTGCAAAAAGCTTTTGGAACCTTAGATACCGGTGTGCTTTGAGAGGGTGGAGTTTTGTTTGTTTGTATGAACTATGTTGAGACAGATACTTAATAAGCTTCCCCGGAAGTCTTCTTCTAAGAAAGCTGAGAATCGTGATACATTGTATTCGAATGCTCCCACCAATTCAAGAAGCAGTGATTTGGGGACCAGTAAGTCTGGGAATTTGACTACATCTTTCCCACCAGGAAATTCTGTTCCAGACACGGTGAAAAGTTACAGCAACAAGAATGTGAGGGGTGCAAATTTGAAGCCGAATGGTTTCGTGCTCTCTTCTTCTTATGAAGCATTGCCTGGATTTAGAGATGTTCCAAATGCGGAGAAGCAAAGCTTATTTATTAAAAAGGTGAGTTTGTGCTGCGTTGTATTTGACTTTACCGACCCAACAAAGCACCTGAAAGAAAAGGAGATCAAGCGGCAGACACTATTAGAGCTAGTGGATTATGTGACTAAAGCAAACGGTAAATTTTCAGAAGCTCTTATGCAAGAGCTTGTAAAAATGGTGTCTGCAAATTTGTTTAGGGTGTTTACCCCACAGCCTCGTGAGAATAAAGTTGCAGATGGCTTTGATTTGGAAGAGGAAGAACCTTCAATGGATCCTGCATGGCCTCATTTGCAAGTAGTGTACGAGTTATTGTTAAGGTTTGTCGCATCACCTGAGACAGATGCAAAATTAGCTAAACGATATATTGATCACTCGTTCATTCTCAAGTTGCTGGATCTTTTTGACTCTGAAGATCCTAGAGAAAGAGAGTATTTGAAAACAATACTGCACCGAGTTTATGGAAAATTTATGGTGCATCGCCCATTCATTAGGAAGGCCATCAACAACATCTTTTATCGTTTCATCTTTGAGACTGAGAAGCATAATGGGATTTCTGAACTCCTAGAAATTTTGGGCAGTATTATAAATGGATTTGCTCTACCACTGAAAGAAGAGCATAAATTGTTCCTCGTTCGGGCTCTAATTCCCCTGCATAAGCCAAAATGTTTAGCTATGTACCATCAACAGTTATCTTACTGCATTACGCAGTTTGTAGAGAAAGATTGCAAGCTTGCTGATACTGTCATTAGGGGTTTACTGAAGTACTGGCCGATCACTAATAGTTCAAAGGAAGTATTGTTCCTAAGTGAGTTGGAAGAAGTGTTGGAAGCAACTCAGCCATCTGAATTCCAGCGGTGCATGGTTCCCCTCTTTCGCCAGATTGCTAATTGTTTGAACAGTTCTCACTTTCAGGTAGCGGGTTCTTTCTCTGCTTTGAGTTTTTCCTATAAGCTGTTTAGTGCACCTTTTCTCTTTATAACTTCTTTAGTCTGCCACATGCATGATACTCAAGTTGTGCACTTATTTTGTTCCAAGCAGGAAGACTTCTCTGCATTGTTATCTTTCTTGTCCATGTTAAATGTGATACATTTAATTTTAAGTGTTTTGCTTGTGTAAATTTTCTTCTCTTTCCATCTCTGGCTGGTAAATTTAGACACCTCATTAATCCAAATTGTTCTGCAGCTATATCTTAGGTTCCCATATTGTAGGTGATCAATTTGTACTTGCCTTTCCGTGTATGTTGTTTTTTAATTGAGGGATTTTTTTACTATGTTTTTCTTTGTTAATCGTCAAGTACTAATTAAGCCATCTAAACCTTGGATCCTTTCCACTACTGTCTCTTCTCAAAAAAAAAAAAAAAAAAAAAACCCTGGATCCTTTTTGTCATCCAAAGAAAAACCCTTAATTTTTTTCTAGTTGGATTTCACTTTGTTAGCCCTTTGCTTTATTGTCATTTTAATATTAGGACTTTTGTCAAGAAGATTCATGTTTGTTGAGTTCTCTTCAATAATTTCATGTTTGGAGGAGAATGCATGAATACTTTCTCAGGTCTAACAAGTGGCGTTTGAAGGTGAGGACGCAATTTTGGTGGTCCACCTCAGAGGAGTAGATAAAGATTGAAATAAGCTAACATAAAATAATGAAGTAAAATTCCATGCTCAGCGAACTTCATGACCGATAGTCCATGGGTTTGCATGTATTGGAGATTCTAATTAGGCCTGTACAAAATTAGGAAGAAATAGAATATCACAAGAGTTAAAGCTCAATCTTGGTAGTCTCTTCGATTTCTGAGATCGGCCCTCGTGGTCTCTGAGCAGCCCAGCTTTTGAGAAAGCAAGCGCCTCTTCGATTTCTGAGATCGGCCTTCGTGGTCTTTAAGCAGCCCAACTTTTGAGAAAGCAAACGTCTCGTGGTCTCTGAGCAGCCCAGCTTTTGAGAAAGCAAACGCCTCTTCGATTTCTGAAGCTCCGTCGAGTGCAGATTTTTATCGAGGCTGGCATTAAGTTCCAAAGCACACTTGAATCTCCACCAGTAGAAGCTCCATTCTTGCACTTCTAAGATCTTGATTTGTCCGACCTCTTCTCTCTTCAACACCTTTGAAAATGTCTGGCCCCTCCGACCGTCGTTTTGACTTGAACCTTGTTGAAGAGGCAGCCACGCCTTCTCCAGACAACATATGGCGCCCATCCTTCGTCTCCCCTACTGGTCCTCTTACTGTTGGGGATTCCGTGATGAAGAATCATATGACCGCTGCGGTAGTGGCCAGGAACCTTCTCACTCCCAAAGATAACAGACTACTTTCCAAACGGTCTGATGAGTTGGCTGTTAAGGATTCTCTGGCTCTCAGTGTTCAGTGTGCAGGTTCTGTGTCTAACATGGCCCAACGCCTATTTGCTCGAACCCGCCAATTTGAATCATTGGCGGCTGAAGTGATGAGTCTCAAACAGGAGATTAGAGGGCTCAAGCATGAGAATAAACAGTTGCACCGGCTCGCACATAACTATGCTACAAACATGAAGAGGAAGCTTGACCAGATGAAGGAATCTGATGGTCAGGTTTTACTTGATCATCAGAGATTTGTGGGTTTGTTCCAAAGGCATTTATTGCCTTCGTCTTCTGGGGCTGTACCGCGTAATGAAGCTCCAAATGATCAACCTCTGCTGCCTCCTCCTTCTAGGGTTCTGTCCAGTACTGAGGCTCCAAATGATCCCCCTCCAGTGCCTGCTCTTTCTGGGGCTCTACCGACTGCTGAGACTTCTCCTAAGCAACCTTTGTGAAGGCTCCCTCTTGTTTGTTTATTTTGACTCATGTATATGTACATATTTGTGACTTATCGGGGATATCAATAAATAGCTTTCCTTCATTTCAACGTATTGTGTTGAATACACCAAAGCCTTCTTCGCTAAGTTCTCTGAATTTTCTTTTGTTGAAGCTTGTATGTTGAAGCTTTGTGAGTGGAGCATGTAGGTTGGGGTAGTATTCCCTTAATTTCCCGAGTGAGGAAAACTTCTCGGTTGGAGACTTAGAAAATCCAAGTCACTGAGTGGGATCGGCTATATGAATCTTTGAACGCCATTGTGCTCGGTCCTGTGTCATGTCCTCCGTTAGATCCAAGTACTCTAAGTCTTTTCTTAGAGTCTCTTCCAAAGTTTTCCTAGGTCTTCCTCTACCCTTTCGGCCCTGAACCTCTGTCCCATAGTCGCATCTTCTAATCGGAGCGTCAGTAGGCCTTCTTTGCACATGTCCAAACCACCGTAACCGATTTTCTCTCATCTTTCCTTCAATTTCGGCTACTCCTACTTTACCCCGGATATCCTCATTCCTAATCTTATCCTTTCTTGTGTGCCCACACATCCAACGAAGCATCCTCATCTCCGCTACACCCATTTTGTGTACGTGTTGATGCTTCACCGCCCAACATTCTGTGCCATACAACATCGCCGGCCTTATTGCCGTCCTATAAAATTTTCCCTTGAGCTTCAGTGGCATACGGCAGTCACACAACACGCCGGATGCACTCTTCCACTTCATCCATCCAGCTTGTATTCTATGGTTGAGATCTCCATCTAATTCTCCGTTCTTTTGTAAGATAGATCCTAGGTAACGAAAACGATCGCTCTTTGGTATTTCTTGATCTCCGATCCTCACCCCTAACTCGTTTTGGCCTCCATTTGCACTGAACTTGCACTCCATATATTCTGTCTTTGATCGGCTTAGGCGAAGACCTTTAGATTCCAACACTTCTCTCCAAAGGTTAAGCTTTGCATTTACCCTTTCCTGAGTTTCATCTATCAACACTATATCGTCTGCGAAAAGCATACACCAAGGAATATCATCTTGAATATGTCCTGTTAACTCATCCATTACCAACGCAAAAAGGTAAGGACTTAAGGATGAGCCTTGATGTAATCCTACAGTTATGGGAAAGCTTTCGGTTTGTCCTTCATGAGTTCTTACGGCAGTCTTTGCTCCTTCATACATATCCTTTATAGCTTGGATATATGCTACTCGTACTCCTTTCTTCTCTAAAATCCTCCAAAGAATGTCTCTTGGGACCCTATCATACGCTTTTTCCAAAATCTATAAAGACCATGTGTAAATCCTTTTTCCCATCTCTATATCTTTCCATCAATCTTCGTAAGAGATAGATTGCCTCCATGGTTGAGCGCCCTGGCATGAACCCGAATTGGTTGTCCGAAACCCGTGTCTCTTGCCTCAATCTATGCTCAATGACTCTCTCCCAGAGCTTCATTGTATGACTCATTAGCTTAATACCCCTATAGTTCATGCAATTTTGTACGTCGCCCTTATTCTTGTATATAGGCACCAAAGTGCTCGTTCGCCACTCATTTGGCATCTTCTTCGTTTTCAAAATCCTATTGAAAAGGTCAGTGAGCCATGTTATACCTGTCTCTCCCAAAACTTTCCACACTTCGATTGGTATATCGTCTGGGCCTACTGCTTTGCTATGCTTCATCTTCTTCAAAGCTACAACCACTTCTTCCTTCCGGATTCGACGATAAAAAGAGTAGTTTCTACACTCTTCTGAGTTACTCAACTCCCCTAAAGAAGCACTCCTTTCATGTCCTTCATTGAAAAGATTATGAAAATAACCTCTCCATCTATCTTTAACCGCGTTCTCTGTAGCAAGAACCTTTCCATCCTCATCCTTGATGCACCTCACTTGGTTTAGGTCCCTTGTCTTCTTTTCCCTTGCTCTAGCTAGTTTATAGATATCCAACTCTCCTTCTTTGGTATCTAGTCGCTTATACATATCGTCATAAGCCGCTAACTTAGCTTCTCTCACAGCTTTCTTCGCCTCTTGCTTCGCTTTTCTATACCTTTCACCATTTTCATCGGTCCTAACCTTGTATAAGGCTTTACAACATTCCTTCTTAGCCTTCACCTTTGTTTGTACCTCCTCATTCCACCACCAAGATTCCTTTTGGTGTGGGGCAAAGCCCTTGGACTCTCCTAACACCTCTTTTGCTACTTTTCAGATACAACTAGCCATGGAATCCCACATTTGGCTAGCTTCCCCCTCTCTATCCCACACACATTGGGTGATTACTTTCTCTTTGAAAATGACTTGTTTTTCTTCTTTTAGATTCCACCATCTAGTCCTTGGGCACTTCCAAGTCTTGTTCTTTTTTCTCACTCTTTTGATATGTACATCCATCACCAACAAGCGATGTTGATTAGCCACGCTCTCTCCTGGTATAACTTTGCAATCCTTACAAGTTATACGATCCCCTTTCCTCAAACAACAACAACAACAACAAAGCCTTTTCCCACTAAGTGGGGTCGGCTATATGAATCCTAGAACGCCATTGCGCTCGGTTTTGTGTCATGTCCTCCGTTAGATCCAAGTACTCTAAGTCTTTTCTTAGAGTCTCTTCCAAAGTTTTCCTAGGTCTTCCTCTACCCCTTCGGCCCTGAACCTCTGTCCCGTAGTCACATCTTCGAACCGGAGCGTCAGTCGGCCTTCTTTGCACATGTCCAAATCACCGGAGCCGATTTTCTCTCATTTTTCCTACAATTTCGGCTACTCCTACTTTACCTCGGATATCCTCATTCCCAATCTTATCCTTTCTCGTGTGCCCACACATCCCAGAAAGCATCCTCATCTCTGCTACACCCATTTTGTGTACGTGTTGATGCTTCACCGCCCAACATTCTGTGCCATACAACATCGCTGGCCTTATTGCCGTCCTATAAAATTTTCCCTTGAGCTTCAGTGGCCTACGACGGTCACACAACACGCCGGATGCACTCTTACACTTCATCCATCCAGCTCGTATTCTATGGTTGAGATCTCCATCTAATTCTCCGTTCTCTTGCAAGATAGATCCTAGGTAGCGAAAACGGTCGCTTTTTGTGATCTTCGCTAGATTGCTCCGGTCATTAGTGTAGATAAGTATATAAATGGATAGAGATAGGAAAGCAAACACAAGATGTATGTGGTTCACCCAGATTGGCTACGTCCACGGAATAGAAGAGTTCTCATTAATTGTGAAGGGTTTACACAAGTACATAGGTTCAAGCTCTCCTTTAGTGAGTACAAGTGAATGATTTAGTACAAATGACATTAGGAAATATTGTGGGAGAATGATCTCGTAATCACGAAACTTCTAAGTATCGGAGTGTGGTGTCGTCTTGACTTGCCTTATCTGTCTCATAGGTAGATGTGGCATCTTCTCTGGAAGTACTTTTCCTCCATCTAGGGGTGGTATCTTTAACTGGTGGAGATGCACAAGGTAATGTATCAATTTCACTTGAAGCTTACTTGTAGTTTCAGGCTTGGTCAAGCGCGATACAAACCATGTAGTAGGAGTCCCCCAAGTCGCCGAGCTAGGGGGTCTGCTGAAAGAGGTGACAGACAAGGTAAGCAATCAGAGCTCCGACTGATTGTTCACCTTCTCCCCATCTTGCAATAGCATAAAGGATAAAGAGAAGAAAAATGAGAAGAGATGATATGAGATACTTTTGCTTTTGAAGAAGTAACTTTCCACAGGCTTATTCTTGAACTGAGCTGGAGGGTTTTATGGTTTCCTCCAGAGTATAAGGCCGACTGAAGAATTTGAGGGTCAAAACAAGTCCATCAAATCTAGAGTACGTTCCACCCTGCTGATATGGGATACTTTTGCTTTTGACAGAGTAATGGATGTATCGGCACGTGTGCTGTTACGCTTGTCTCCACATGCTTCCTTGTATCCTTCGCACTTGCCCTATCTGTTCCTCAAGCAGGTGCGGAATCTTCCCTGGAAACATAAGCTGTTGAAGATGAGTACTCGAGAGCAATGCCAGGTAAGTAATCAGGTAAGGGGTTCCAGGCAGTCAGTTCCTGGCTGGAAGCTTGATTCCAAGTGCTGACTGATTGCTCTCTTTCACCTTGTCTTGCAGGTAAAAACAAGGCCAAAGGAAAAGACAGGAAAAAAGCATGATATGGGATACTCTTGCTTTTAACCCTGATGATATGAGATATTCTTGCTCTAGTATAGCTTGTTTGTAGAGGTATTATCGGGGGGAAAGAAAGCTGAATATTTCGAAAGGCTTCGTTGGGAGTGCCCTCTCAGATATGATGAAGGGTTGAGCATTTTTGCAGGTCTGCCTGTCCTTTGGGGATGGAGGTCGACATATATAGGAGTCTCCCTAACAACAAGTAGTAATGCTATTCCTTTACCCTGCTTGGTCATAGCACGATAGTGGGAGCTGTCAGTTTCACATGTTTTAACTCTGTCAGAGCACTTTGAAAAAGTGGTCTGTGGTATCTGGGTCTCGAGATTCGGAGAACAATGCCTCTTCGATTTTTGAGAAAGCAATCATGCTAGGGGTCTGGCTCTCGAGATTCGGAGAGCAGTGTCTCTTCGATTTTTTAGGAAGTAATCATGTTGGGAGTCTGGCTCTCGAGATTCGGAGGGCGGTGCCTCTTCGATTTTGGAGCAAGCAATCTTGTTGAGAGTGTTGTCTCGAATGTGAGTAAAGGTTGGGCATGTTTGCTAGTCTACCTTGCCACGAAGCACAAAGGTTGACACACAGGGACTTTCCAATTATCCAGCAATGGTACTGTTCCTTTACCCTCTCTTCGATTTTGAGAAAGTAGTCATGTTGGGAGTCTGGCTCTCGAGATTCGGAGGACGGTGCCCTCTTCGATTTTGGAGCAAGCAATCTTGTTGGGAGTGTTTTCTCGAATGTGAGTAAAGGTTGGGCATGTTTGCTAGTCTACCTTGCCACGAAGCACAGAGGTTGACACACAGGGACTTTCCAATTATCCAGCAGTGGTACTGTTCCTTTACCCTTGTGGGTAATAATATGGTAGCTAGACCTTCAAAATTTATGTGTCTAAACTTTGTTAGTGCTGTTTCTTTGCTATTCTTTTACCTTTCTTGGTCAGAGCGATGTAGTGGGAGCTGCAAGCTTCACGTGCTCAACTTTGGCAGAGAACTTTGGCAAAGTTATCTGTGGTACCCATGAGCTGTTGTTGCGTGTGGGAAGTGGGTAATTGAACAGTAAGATTCATGTGCTTTCTACTTCACCAGAAGTCTTCAACAGAATGCCCATAATTTCTGCAAAGCTGAGTGTGCGTGTGACAGGTGCTGACAAGGCTAGAAAAGTAGGTGCCTCTTCGATTTCTGAGATCGGCCCTCGTGGTCTCTGAGCAGCCCAGCTTTTGAGAAAGCGAGCGCCTCTTTGATTGATTCGGAGAACGATGCCTCATCGATTTTTGAGAAAGCAATCATGCTGGGGGTCTGGCTCTCGAAGATTCGGGGAGCAGTGTCTCTTCGATTTTTGAGAAAGTAATCATGTTGGGAGTCTGGCTCTCGAGATTCGGAGGGCGGTGCCTCTTCGATTTTGGAGCAAGCAATCTTGTTGGGAGTGTTTTCTCGAATGTGAGTAAAGGTTGGGCATGTTTGCTAGTCTACCTTGCCACGAAGCACAGAGGTTGACACACAGGGACTTTCCAATTATCCAGCAATGGTACTGTTCCTTAGGTGATCACATGTTTTTCTCTCTTCTTAAAGAAGGTGTCTCCCTGCCCACGTGTCCATTTAAATCTCCTCCTATAAATAACTTCTCCGTCTGAGCAATTCCTTGCACCAAGTCTCCAAGGTCTTCCCAAAATTTCTCCTTCGAACTCATATCCAACCCTACTTGAGGTGCGTACGCACTAATCACATTGATAAGTTCTTGTCCTATTACAATCTTGATTGCCATGATTCTATCTCCTACCCTCTTGACATCTACAACATCTTGTGTCAAGGTCTTGTCCACGATGATGCCAACACCGTTTCTCGTTCTATTTGTGCCCGAGTACCAAAGTTTAAACCCTAAGTTTTCTAGATCCTTTGCCTTAAGACCAACCCACTTAGTTTCTTGTAGGCACATAATATTTATCCTTCTCCTCACCATAACTTCCACTACTTCCATAGATTTTCCCGTTAAGGTTCCTATATTCCACGTTCCTAAACGCATTCTACTCTCCTGAACTCTACCCTTCTGTCCTAGCTTCTTCACCCTCCCCCGTCCAATAGAATCAAAGTACTTCTTTTGTGTGTCCCGTGTAAAGTTGATAGGTGCATATGCTCCCAAACAACTTTGAGTGAAGTCGTTCGAAAAGAAGTTTCTATGGCCCCCTTGCTCATTTAACACTGCATCCGGGTGCCTATAGAGATACAGCGACCCTTGCTCACTTATCACTGTGCTCGGGCCACACAGCGCGCCACTTACGGGTGACGCCCTAGCTTTAGCGCGATTTCGTTCTGAATTCATTTTCATAAGGATTCGACGTAACTGTGGAGTGCCGGCTATCGACTACCTGACGCCCTCCCCCTCCTCCTTTACCCGGGCTTGGGACCGGCCATGTAAGATAAACTTACATAGGCGGAGTTAGCTAACATAAAATAATGAAGTAAAATTCCATGCTCAGCGAACTTCATGACCGATAGTCCATGGGTTTGCATGTATTGGAGATTCTAATTAGGCCTGTACAAAATTAGGAAGAAATAGAATATCACAAGAGTTAAAGCTCAATCTTGGTAGTTTCTCATAGATCCCATGGGCCAAAGAAGTCGTCCTACAATGCTTGATTGATTTCTGTAAGTGTTGGCTGTTGAGAGGATCTAGATAATGTCCCAGGAAATTTTGGTGCTTCTTGTTTTTCCATCAACAAAATTGGGTGTTTGTTGGATGTTCCATTTTGGTTACATAGGATTTTTAGACTTTAAAGGGAGGAGTCTCAGACGTTTGAAGAGCATTTTGAATCTCTTTGGAGTTCTGATTTTCTGTTCCGCGAGTCAGTCAAGAACATTAAAACTAGTATTACAATGCTCTTACTTAAAACGTAGTGTCACTGTCAATTCCATATGGTATAAATCTTGAACTCAAACTCCCAACCATTTCTTTGGGTAGTCGGCTTGAGGATATGATTATGTATTAAGCAAATTATGACTCATCAATTAAAGAACTACTACATGAATTGGGAAAATGTTTAACCAAGTATTCAGCACGAAGTAGAGCTGAAGTAAACTTAAGGTTATGCATGTGAGTTCTCTTCGCAGTGGACGAGTAAATGTGAAATGAATTCCCGATTGTATCTTCTCAGGAAGTTTTATACTAGCCAATCATATAGAACTTTGACATTAGTCTCTCAGTAATTAATCCTACTTCTGTTTTATGTCATGTTTTCATTGTGAGAAAATAGCTTATTCTCGTTGCAGCTTTTGATTCTTGAATCTGATGCAAGCAATCCTTGTTTTGTCAGGTGGCAGAGAGAGCTTTATTTTTGTGGAACAACGATCACATTGAGAACTTAATCAGACAGAATCGTAAAGTTACTGCCTATTATCTTACCTGCATTGGAGAAAAATGCTAGAAATCACTGGAATCAGGCTGTCCATAGCTTGACCCTAAATGTCCGAAAAATTTTCAACGAGCTTGATCCTGAGCTTTTCAAGGAGTGCTTACTCCAGGTTCAGGAAGACGAGTCAAAGGAGGGCGAGGTTGCCGCACGGCGTGAATCCACTTGGAAACGCTTGGAAGAAGTTGCTGCAAAGAAAGCTGCGAGCAACGAACCTGTGCTTGTTTTCGGCAAAGCACCTCCCAGCACTACCTCGCTTTAGCCGGAGCAAGAGACTTGCTGACAACACAATGACATCAAATTCTGTTAATCGAAAACGGGATTTGTAGCACTGTGACGTGGTTCGGGTGGTTCGGGTGCTTGTTTTCAAAGATCATTGTGTATGTTGTAGTTGTAGCTAGGAAATGGTTCTGGCAGATAACCCCGGTCCAAGAAAACATTCTGCCTTATTGATTGTTTTGTTTAAAAGTTAATTTTCTAGCTCCTCTTTCATCCATTTGACATAACGGGCTCACTTATTCTCCCAGGAGGAGAGTTCTTCAAGGCGGCCCCATCACTCGACTGTGTGGCCGAAGACTCATAGCCGAAATACAAAGTGTGCTGAGAGATGTTTTTACCTGTATCTAAGAATTTTTTGCCTCATCAAATATAAAATAATAACCACCGCTAATGTGTGAAATAAGAACTCTTACGTGAGCGAAAACAATGTTTTAAAAAAATCACCCCAAGGTGCGCCCTAGGCGGCTTTGGAGGCTGGCTGGAAGGAAAATCGCCTCTGTTTTGTGGGGAGTCAGCGAAAAACTCATCTAGGTTTCGTCGGGGCACGTCTCAGGACGTTTGGGGGCGTCATTTTTGTTTAAAAGTTGTCAAAATCTGAAAAATAAAAATTTAGGTCAAGTTTCAAAACTTTTAGTTGCAGAACCTCATGCTTCAAGGCTTCCGCCTAAGGTCTTTGTCGTTTGAGTAAGTTGTAGAAATGATCTCTTAATTTTAATCAAATTTGAGCAATGATCCCTCAACTAAAAATCAATTACTATTGGTCTCTCAACTTATCAAAATGTGTAGTTATAGTCATTTTTATCAATTTTGTCAAAATAAGTTATGTTGGAATAACCATTCATATAATTAGGGTTTCTCAACTCATCAAAGTGTGTAATTATGGTCATTTTCGTCAACTACGTCGAAATTTTTGTCAAAACGATTTATGTTGGAAGGACCATTGCTACAATTAGGTTAAAGTTAATGGATCATTTCTTTAGTTGAATTAAAGTTGAGGGACTAATGATAATGAATTTTTAGTTGATGGACCATAGCTGCACGTTTTGATGAGTTGAGGGACCAATAGTAATTGATTTTTAGTTGATAAACTATTACTCCAATTAAATTAAAATTAAAGGAGCATCGTTCTTGTTTTTTAAAACATTGAGTGACAATGATCATAAACTCCACTAAAGATACTGTTCTTTTTTGGAATCTCTAAAAACAATAAAAAAAAGTTAGTCAAATAACAAGGAACGAGGATCCTCTGGATCCTTTTGTGAGGATCTCGGACATCTTTAAATTATATTTGTTCATCATATATTATACAGTCAGTTATCGTTAATTACTATTTATATTTAATTTTATAAATGATTTCTACCCATATAATGCACGATGAACTGATACAATTTAAGAATATAAAAAAAATAAAAACACAAGGAGAGATTCGTTCGATGAGTTGGCTGTGAGTTGGCTGACTTTTCTTTCATGTAGCTCTCACTCAGTCACTTGTGGTGGGATTAATGATCACTTTTCTCGCTCTCACGATGTGGTGACGCTTATTTCTATTGAATGTGTCAATCCATATCGCTCTCTCTCCCTCCCTCCAAGTCCAAGTTAGAGAGAGAGTTTTTGTTCGAGAGCTTTGGTTCCTTTACCATTTTCTCTTTTCCCAACTTTTACTTTCTTTCAACACTCTCTCTCAAACGGTGGATTTTATGGGGACTGAAATTGTTGAATGTTCTCCTGGTCACCTTTTCTACTTCGTCTCTCTCTCTGTGACCCAAAATTTAATAGAAGAAAAGCTCTTTGCTTTCTTGCACTGCTTAGACTCCTGCTGATTCTGTAAGTATAAAAATTTCATCTTTTTACACTTGAGTTTGGTACCCTTTTACTTTTTTGCTCGCACCCTTTTAGATTTTTTCTTTTAGGCATCACTTTCCCTTGGATTATTTCATTGTTAATGATATCTGTGGAATGCTATCTCTGTGTTTCAGATCGCACTCAGATCGTGTCAGCTGCAGAGCTAACTGGGTTTAGCTGCTGATTTGGTAAATATATCTGTATGTATGTAGTCTTCAAGCTGTCCTTACCTGGAAGTAGATTAAAGACAAGAGCTTTTCTTAATTTGGGAACTTGTTATTGGACTTTGGCTTAAATCAGTTTCTGCTTCTGGGTTACTGAATTTGACCTTAGAAGGTGTCAAATTTTTCTACTTTACCGTTAGAGATGTAGAGAAGTTGAAGAATCACTAGAATATAATGATACATGACAACAAGGGAACTTGCTTGCTTTGATTATTTGCTTCTGAGAGTGTAAGTTTAATCTTCATATGGAAATGGGTGTCTCTATCTGGGTTTTCGATTTCTTATAGTGCCGATTGTTGCTCATTGAGTGTGTATCTGGTTTGATTCTTCTATCTGAGGTATCGAATTTTCGGTTCAGTTCTGCTTTGAGGGTTTGACACGATTTGTGGTTGGGGTCTTTTGTTTTTGAAGTCATGATCAAGAATTTAATTGGTAAGCTTCCTAGGAAGCCGTCTAAGTCAGCCGAGAATCGTGAATCTGGGGGTTCATCTGCCGCTACATTGAATGCTTCCTCTATAGGTTCAAGAAGCGGTGATGTAGGGAATAGGCCAATTAATTCAAATAGCGTACCTCTTTCAGGCCTTGATTCTGATTCAAATTTAGGATATGGCCATGGAAGTAAGCTCCCTCAACTTGTCAACTCAAGTCTGAATTCTGTTACCACTTCTTATGAAGCGTTTCCAGCTTTTAGAGATGTACCAAACTCCGAGAAGCATCACTTGTTTGTGAAAAAGCTGAACTTATGTTGTGTGGTGTTTGACTTCACTGACCCAACGAAAAATCTGAGAGAAAAAGACATCAAGCGGCAGACGTTGCTAGAGCTTGTAGATTATGTTACTTCTGCAAATGGAAAGTTCAATGAAATCATAGTGCAAGAAGTTGTAAAGGTGGTGACTGTGAATTTGTTCAGGTCATTCTCTCCACAGCCCCGTGAGAATAAGGTTTTAGAAGGATTTGATGTGGAGGAGGAGGAGCCTTTGATGGACCCTGCATGGTCACACTTACAGATTGTGTACGAACTTTTCTGAGGTTTGTTGCATCGCCCGAGACAGATGCAAAGGTCGCTAAGAAGTACATTGATCAGTCTTTTGTTCTCAAATTATTGGATCTCTTTGATTCTGAGGATCCTAGGGAAAGGGAGTACTTAAAAACAATTCTGCATCGTGTCTATGGAAAGTTTATGGTGCATCGCCCATTCATTAGGAAGGCGATCAACAATATATTTTTCCGATTTATTTTTGAAACAGAAAAGCACAATGGGATTGCTGAGCTTTTAGAGGTTTTGGGCAGTATAATCAATGGATTTGCTCTTCCGCTTAAAGAAGAACACAAACTTTTCCTAGTTCAGGCTCTGATCCCCCTTCACAAACCAAGATGCTTACAAATGTACCATCAGCAGTTGTCCTACTGCATTTCACAGTTTGTCGAGAAAGATTGCAAGCTTGCAGATACTGTTATAAGAGGGCTGTTAAAGTACTGGCCAATCACAAATAGTTCAAAGGAAGTCATGTTCCTAAGTGAGCTCGAGGAAACTTTAGAAGCAACTCAGCCAGCAGAATTTCAAACATGTATGGTACCACTCTTCCGCCAAATATCTCGTTGCTTGAGCAGTTCACAATTTCAGGTATTGAGCTGGGTCTTCATTTAATTTACTATTTCTTTGTGCTCATAAATATTTGGCCTGTTTGAAGAAACCCATCTCTCTCTTCCCTTTGCGCTCCCAAAAGTTTTGCATGTCACCTTTTATTGATTCTGATAAGTATTTTCTGCCATTTGGTTTGTTTTTACTCTTGTTTATATCTTTGATCATTGTCATTGTATTTCCTTCCATATTCGACTTTAAGGGAAGTTCTTCTGAAATATTTACTTTCGACAATGTTATCGTTTTAGGGAGGTCAAGCTCACTTTCCATGTATATCCTGACCAAGAACCTTGAGTTGACTGATGTGTGCTTTTACAGGTGGCAGAGAGGGCCTTGTACTTGTGGAACAATGACCACATCGAGGACTTAATCAGACAAAACCGTAAAGTCATATTGCCCATTATCTTTCCTGCTTTGGAGAAGAATGGCCACAACCACTGGAACCAAGTGGCGCGGAGGTTGACGTTAAACATCCGTAAAATCTACTCTGACATTGATCCTGAGCTATTTGAGGAGTGTTTGCTCAAATTTCAAGAAGATGAAGCAAAAGAGGAGGAGATTAAAGCAAAACATGTAGCCACCTGGAAGCACTTAGAAGAGATTGCTGCTTCTAACGCTGTTAGCAGTGAAGCAGTTGTTGGCCGCTTGGACCCAACCCAGACATCTCCAAGCTAATGGTAGAGGGATATACTTATGCAGTTAGAAGTTCTCATATTTCTGTTTTGCTGCTTTTTCTGATCGTTGGGTGGGAGCATTGCGTGGCCGTGTGCTGTGAAAGGTTGAACACTATTTGATAGTTGTCCATAGCCTTTTCTGTTTTTCCCTCTATTTCAGCTCGTCACCCCTAACGTTTAGAGAAACGTTCCACAGCATTGAAGTTCATGATTCTGGGATTTTCACAGATACCATTTGCACGAAACAACACAACAGGAGTTAGAAGCTGCATTATGTATTCAGCACGGTGAACATAGAGGTATAGTTGATAAGGGTTAACATGAAAGAAGCTACAAAATACAGGTAATTTTATTCATTTGGAGTAGATTTAATTGGTTTGAAGTACTTAACTACTTAGTCTCGTTTCTGTATGTGTATAATATCTATCCATGGATCTCAGAAAGAATCTGTTTGCGTGTGCTTTTTTTTTAATATATTGATATATCTGATTGGCTTTAGTTGTGATGAATGTTCTTAGGCCCTAACTCATCATTAAAATGCATTTACTGGACTTGTACTTTCGTCTACATGTTCCTGAGCAAATGATGATAATTTACAAATGTGTAAACTATGAACATCAACTAGTTGAACCATAGGACTGGCTGGAAGACATAAACCCAGTTACATAGGCTTAAGAGCTTGGTGCCACAGAAACAAATTCTAGGAGCTCGTGATCACTTTCAAATTTAGCCATGTCTTCTTCGTCCAAGGTCACCCATGCCTCTATTCCGTCACCCGAGCTACTACTCAACAGTATGACAACATTCTTGATGGGCACATTACTAATGCATGCCCAGGTGGGTTTTCCCCATCCAAAATCAGTGTTGTATAGGGAAAACCTAATCCAACTGCTGAACCTGAAAAACTCAACCTCTCCTTCGGAGACCAATTCACTCGTTTCTTTTAGAGGCTCACAAGCATGTGAAAACCCGTCTTCACCTTGCAGTTTCCTCACACAATCATCATCGATCTTCCTTATTACTTTTCTTAATTGGACCACGAAGTCATGCAACTCTGGTTTGCTTTCATCTTTCATTATGGATGCAACAGCAACCCGCCAGATATTACCAAAAGAATGCTCTGGCAAAGGTGGAGCCATTCGTTCCCTTAAATACCCCACATGGGATATCGCCATTGATGGCCTGCCCCTACCCAATGTACCAATCTTTGCGTTCATGCTCGACTTGCATATAAGGGCTGTCAGAGCTTCCACACGAGTGGGAGCACGGCCGTCCGTGCACAATCCCTTGGATGCTTTGACTTTCAGCTTGGCCAAGCTGGATGCATCAAACACAAACCTCTTTGTCACGAACTTTTCTCTCTTGATCAAATTGGATGGCATGAAGATTTGTTTGTCCCTAGGTGGAAAGATGTTGGCTGAATTTAGGGAGGGAGTGATGTTTTCAAAAACACCGCGTGACCTTGTAGCCCAAGCATCAAGGAACGAAGACAATGTTGCACCATCTGCGATCTTGTGGGAAAGGCAGATTACAATGCCCATGCCACCGCAGTCAAAGAAGTTCAATTGAATGGCCATGGCTGCAACTGCCTTGTCCATTCTAATATTGTAGGGATCAAGTGGAAGAAGTTGTTGCACTAAATCCATTTCTGGAATTTTTAGTATCTCAGAGAGCTGAATGTTAGCTCTAGCTCTTGCGAAGGCAACAGCTCCGTCTTCACAATCCACGGATGCATTGCCCTCAATCCTTCCGGCCAAAGGGTAGAAACCGGTCAAGGTTTCCGATAAAGAGTTATTCAGCTTATCAACAATGGTGGTATCGTCAATGTTTTCAGGAGCTGAGTAGAAAAGAATGACTGGCACATAAAACATGGGAGCTATCTGCTCTAGCAAAGAGAGTTTGTAGCTCTTAAGGTGGTCTGGAATCGGAGATGATGGTTTGCATTGATCTTCAGAGACTATCTCAATCTTCATCTGCATTTTCACTTCTTTTTTTTTTCTGTTAAAATTGCAGTTACGGAGAAAGAGAACTTTGAGATGAAGATTAAGAACTAATTACAGCAAGATAAACTGATTACAGTTAATCTGTTTTCAAAACACTATTTATAAGCAGCTAATCTATTGCTGATAGCTACGCTTGCCAAACCTAACCATTTCAATTTTCAACCAACTCCTTGTTGAGCTTGGAGAGGATTTGGAAACTTGTTTAAGCTACTAGAAATTTGGAAGATTTAGGGTTGGTTTGGTATTGCTTCGCTTTGAAAAAAAAAAAGCTACTTCTACTGTGCTGTGAGAATAAGCAGCTGTGAAATAAAGCAGTAGGGTGTTTGGTAAACTTTTTTGTAAAAGTGCTTTTGAAAAGAAAAAAAAGCAGTATTATAGTGTTTGGTAAACTTTTATGTAAAACAGATGTGAAAAAAAACCGGTTTTTCAAGGCTGGGTTTTGCAGCTTTGTGTTTTAGTTTTTCACCCAAAACTGTGAAAAAAGCTGAAGTTGAATGTTTACCAAACACAAAAAAACTCCCAGCTTTTTTTTATACCCACTTTTTTCAAAATCACCTCAGTACCAAACGAGGCCTTAACTGGTCATCCAATGGATATTTACACGTGGCGTTGATTGATCGATTGCTTGGGAAGCAAGAACGTTGTATCACCATTGTGTGATGCATTAAAATTTCTTGGTTAATGTCAATGTCACGCATTAAAATTTCTTGTTTAATGTCAAAGTTACTGCTAGGTAGGTGATTAATGTCAATGTCACGCATTAAAATTTCTTGTTTAATGTTAAAATTTCTTGGATATGCTCTTAATAAACATAGTGAAAGCCAAGAATCAGAATAATTCCAATATAAACATAGTGAAAGCCAAGAATCAAAATAATTCTAATATAGAAATGTTTGGTTTGATGTGGTTTCGAGTTTGGTTTGGTCCCTTTTTGTGTATATTCTTTACATATGTTAACTGGAAAAAAAAATCATGGAAAGCTGGGCATGCTTTGCTTTGGCATGATGAAAAATGAAAGGGAACTTTAACAAAAAGTTTTCGGTACTGTTCATTTTAACGAAAAACCACATTTTTACACTAAAAATTTTTTGAATGGTCTGTTGCTCCTGAGTTGCTTGCATTTCTTGAAGCGGCATATCTTCGTAACACCTGAAAGCAAATGAAATCTCTAGAGTAAATAACAAGCAAAAAAAGCAAGTTGGCGGCGTGCAGGACATGCTTGCCGCGGCATAGATGATGTGACATGCTCACATATTACGCACATAAAACAACTTTCTTTTAATTTTTTATCAAGCCAAAGTGATAAATATAATTTGGTTGAAGAAGACATACATCTTGTGGTAGGCTAACGCTTGTGCCAGATTCATTAGAGTTGAACTTGTAAAGAGCCTTTTGTAAACACATGGAGGGAGGGGCATCTGCAGCGCATCAATAGATAAAAAAATGCTGAGAGAGAGAGGGAGGGAGGGAATGCAGAGAGAGAGAGAGAGAGATTTGACCTCGTTTTGCCCTCTTCGTCCCTTCTTAGACTGTCCATCACCAGTAAAAAGCTCCTGTAGTGCCTCCACGGCTACAGATCCACTATTATCCTGATGCATGCCTCCAAGAACATTGTCTGATAAGAGAGCAATGGGGGATATATCGGTTGCCCTCAAAAATGGAATAGGCACTGTATTACCAGCTGCATATATGGACCAAAGCTGCCATGAACATGAAAATAAGCAATTATATACTAGTGTTGAGCCTGTTGACAACCCGGTATTTTTTTAGGAAGGGCTGGTATTTAAGTCAAGGGGTTGGGATAATTTTAGATTAGTGATAAGAGAGGGAATTAGGGATGCCCCTTGAGGAGAAGAAATGAGGAAGGCATGTCCCACTGTGATAGGGACCTATCAACAGGCAAGCATAGACCTCAGAGCGAATATTACCTTATCTTGCATTGCAAAAGCTTTCCGGCTGACAGCTTCATTCTTCACTTTGCCACTGCTTATACTGCTTGGACCTCCAACCTGGACTTGAGATGTGCTTTTTGTCTTTATGCTCTGCTCAGATGCCTGTAGAGTGTGCGTAACTGGAATGCCGTTTTTGGTAATACTACTTGAATTTTCCTCCCTGATAGAGCATCATCGTAAATGTTGGTATCGTCAATGGTGGTATCGTCAACAATGGTGGTTTCTGATAAAGAGTTCTTCAACTTATCAACAATGGTGGTATCGTCAATGTTTTCAGGAGCTGAGTAGAAAAGAATGACCGGCACATAAAACATGGGAGCTATCTGATCTAGCAAAGAGAGTTTGTAGCTCTTAAGGTTGTCTGGAATCGGAGATGATGGTTTGCATTGATCTTCAGAGACTATCTCAATCTTCATCTGCATTTTCACTTTTTTTTTTTTTTTTCTGTTAAAATTGCAGTTACGGAGAAAGAGAACTTTGAGATGAAGATTAAAAACTAATTACAGCAGGATAAACTGATTACAGTTAATCTGTTTTCAAAACACTCTATTTATAAGCAGCTAATCTATTGCTGATAGCTACGCTTGCCAAACCTAACCATTTCAATTTTCAACCAACTCCTTGTTGAGCTTGGAGAGGATTTGGAAACTTGTTTAAGCTACTAGAAATCTGGAAGATTTAGCTGGTCATCCGACGGATATTTACATGTGGCGTTGATTGATCGATTGCTTGGGAAGCAAGAACGTTGTATCGCCATTGTGTGCTGCATTAAAATTTCTTGGTTAATGTCAATGCCACGCATTAAAATTTCTTGTTTAATGTCAAAGTTACTGCTAGGTAGGTGATTAAGTTTTAGACCAGGAGAGTTGCGAGGGTGATAAAACTGTTGATCAACCTATGGATTGCGAGATTAGGGTTGAACAAGTTTTTTAACCCAGAAGAATATGGAATTGGGTTTTCTTGGGTTGAAGAGTTATTTGAAGTGACCATGGCAGTTGTAGGGCTTGGGCTGGCTAGGATGTGTTCCTTTCATGTACACTCGTATCGTGTTGGGCAAACAAGCCGCTGACGGGGGATGACCCGTTTGAAATGCTTTTAGGAGAAGAACTTCTACTTCTAAGCGCTTTTATTATAAACACTTTTTTATTTGAAATGCAAGTGCTTTTTGGACAAACACTTAAATTGTTTTGATAATACCAAAACACTAGTAAGGTTTTTTTTCCACTAGAGCCGCTTTAAGTTTTTATTTTATTTTTAAAGCGCTTTAAGATTGCAGGGGCTTGTAACTCAGTTGGGGTAGGAATGTAGGAAGGTAGGAATGTGGGTTTTTACACCAATCTTAATTATTGATGGCGGCGAATTCCGAGTCAAACAAATTCATGGTTTATAGGTATCTCATTATGGATTATAGCGAGGGAGCTACGTGTGACCTTTTTTAGTATTTTATTTTTAGAAAGTATAGGACATTTTTTAAATTTAAAGATTCATTTTACAACTTTGTTGTAGCACAAAAAAAAATCATACGTGGCACTTCAAATTTAGTTTTGTAGACTCTTGGATATGCTCTTAATAAACATAGTGAAAGCCAAGAATCAGAATAATTCCAATATAGAAATGTTTGGTTTGATGTGGTTTCGAGTTTGGTTTGGTCCCTTTTTGTGTATATTCTTTACATATGTTAACTGAAAAAAAAAATCATGGAAAGCTGGGCATGCTTTGCTTTGGCATGATGAAAAATGAAAGAGAATTTTAACAAAAAAACCTCTGGTACTGTTCACTTTAACGAAAAACCACATTTTTACACTAAAAAGTCAATTATGTTACTATTCACTTTACCCTTTATTTTATCCTTATCATTAAAACTCTAAGCTTTCAAGCCTTTTTCATTAGTTTTTCTAAAATTTTAAATGATTCAAATCTGAGAACTTGTTTCTGAGAGGAAGGATGCAAGAAGTTTGGATACAGGAGGACGGCCCTAACTAGCTGAGCCTAACCAACAAACTGCATTCGCATAATACAAACTTAAAAAAACCAAAAAAAAAAATAAAACAAAAAAAAAAAAAAAAGGGGCGGGAGATTCTTTTAAGTAATTATTAATCCAATAATTGAGAGGGAAACAAGTTAAGAAACAAGCTAGACTAGTTAAATAAATAGGCCCGATTGGATTATTAGTCCCTGACAGGTGATAAGATAGTTGGAAGATAGTCTATGTGGTAAAAAACTTAGAATTTAAGTTTTGTGATGAAATCTGTTAGGATTTATACCCAAAATGAAAATTCCGTTAACTTTCCGTTAATTATTAGCACGTGAGTCACACATATTAGGCTAACACAGAATTTTCCGTTAATTGTTAGCACGTGGGGATTACATGTGAAACTAACTTTATATTTTTAGTCTCACTAGTGAGCCTCATGTGCTAAAAATTAATGGAGAGTTGACGAAATTTTCAATTTTGGGTCTAAATCCTAACCGTCTTCATCACAGAGGCTTAAATCCTAATCTTTTCATCACAGGGGCCATCTTCCAACTACCATATTCCCACGGTAACTATTAATCCAATTAAACCAAATAAATACCAAGGCAATTAGTATGGACGATCAGTTTTTGATATTTTGTTGCAGAAAAGATCAATGTCTATTATGTTATTATTATATCATCCTTACGTGGTTGTTATGTCATTGTTGAGTTATCAATATATAATTAAATATGTCATCATTACTAAAGCTGATCATTTCTGTAACCAAATCTCAAAAGCTGATCATTCCTTCTAACTCCGTTAAATATCGTGTACATTGATAAGTACTCTTAATCACTTGAACTATAAATACCTAGGCTAGTCCAAAATAGACAAGAAAGTACTTTAAAATAAACAAATATTTCCTAATCACCACCTTATTTTAGTTACCCGTTTTAGGTAGTCTTTAATTTTGTCCTAAACGATTAAGGTACCTTATGTTTTCCTAGTCAATTAGGGTACTTTTATACTCACTATTTAAAAACACTTGTGTGCGTGACTTGTTTTTGGGATCCATCTTTTTTAGTTGATCAAACTCAAACAACAATCGTTCTAAACGCAACGAAGATCTAACTAGCTAGCTAAGCTTCTAAGCTTCAGAGATATCATCATCTATGGCAATGGCACCCATCATCACCGGCTGTCTCTCCATTATTTTTGGTCTGGACTCCTGCTTCTCCTTCTTTTTAACGGCTTTCCTCACCCACGAGACGTTATCCACATTCGACGAAAACCCCTTCCTAGAGTGCCCGTGGCCGTGGCCAGGCGAGATTCCTCCTTCCGGTTTGGATCAATATTATTAGCGTTCCATGCTTCCAGCTGCAATTTTAAACTACGTACGTTCTGTATTGCTGTACAAGATATTATTAATTAATGTTGTTAAATCAGCTTAATTAGTGTCTTTAATTTCTATGTGTATACCCATTTTCTTCGTTTATAAATTTAATGTATTACGTAGAATTATGAACTTGTGTCGCATATTATGCCTCATGCATATTATGTAAAAAAAAAAAAAAAAATAGTTCAAATCCACCTTGCTCAGACTCCCCGGTTAATTAAACATAATAATTAAGGATTTTGCATGCAGAAGAAAAGAAAATTAAGAGCTATAGCTTATCAGTGTTTATAACTAGTAACTACTATGTACACCTTTAATTAACATCTCCCAACTTAAGCTTCACCAAACAAAATATGATCAAATCTATCACCTTTCACTATACACCATCTGGTCTGACACATATACTTCATAGGAAAGTAATATTTTCGTGTATACGTACATGGAAGGTATAAATCTAGGTACAGTAGCTAGAAGTTTGATGTTGTTCAAGTTAGTAGAGTTCATGTTTGCTTACCACCAACTGCTATAAATTAAAGAACAACATGAACGACTATTAACATATCAAACATGCACACGACAAGGTGGCTAAATAATAACCGTACTTGTATATTATTAGGCACCCATAATGTTGAATTTTTTAGGTCGATGGGTCGAATGCCCCACTCCAACAACACCGATACTGTCCCCAACGTGATAATTACCAATTGTCCAATCCATCAGGTGTGGGGTTTTATCACAAAAGACTTCGATGTTAGTTAGAGTGGGGTAATCCTATTTAAATAAATTGCTTTTCTTCTTTCCCTCTAGCCGATGTGGGATTCAACACATAGTACTTTAAATCAGCTCATCTTGGGGAAGAGATCCTCTCCATATCTCTCCCACCAAAGCCACCAAGTCCACTCATCCGGGCCCTTGAAATTTGATCCAACGATTACAAACAGGGAGCCCCTTAAAAGTTATAATAATTTTAGCCGTTGGATCAAATTTCAAGGGTCCAGATTAGTGGCTTTGGTGGGAGAGATCTCTCTTCCCCTCATCTTGTACCACTATATTAGTGACTATCGATCTATTTTCTTGAAGTAACCACTTTAATGATTTTTTTTTATTGGATGAATTTAATTTTAAGTTATATCAGTTTCATCCATCACTAGTACATAACAGCATATTTACCACATCAATTCCATCACGGGCATCAACAGCTCGTGGTAGAAACTATAGAAAACTTCATTTTAATCCTTGGCAAAAATGATTTTTTGATTAAAACCATGAGTAAGATCAAAATCTAATTTTAGTCCCTTAATACATTAATAGCCTCATTTATTAATTATATTTTGATTTTTAATTATTTATCTTTTTCTTTCTAATTTTTAATGTATTAATTTTATTTCATTATAATTTTTATTTTCATTTCATTCATCGTAATATATTTTGTTGTGAACATTTAGATAAACTAATTTTTGTTATACAATATATTTCGATGTACTTTATCTTCTTCATTTAGGTATATTAAATTCATTATAATACATTTCGGTGCATACATTTAGGTACACACATTTCGGTACCTACATTTCGATACAAACATTTAGGTACATTAATTCAATATAATACATTTTCGGTACTAACATTTCGGTGCATACATTTCGGTACACACATTTAGGTACATTAATTTAATATTAAAACATTTCGTTGCATATATTTATGTACATACATTTTGGTACTAACATTTAGGTACATTAATTGAGTCTTTTAAATTTGAAGAATGTTAAATAAAATTAATAAATTAAAAAACTCTTTTTTGGTCAAAAAATAAATTAAAATTTGTGTATTAATAAATTTAAATATTTAATGGGAGACATTAAATAAAATGCACATTAATTATTTTGAATTAAGGACACATTAGGGACTGAAATCAATATTTAATCTAACACCAGTTTTTTTTTAAATTTTAATCTTCTTGAAGGATTAAAGTTCAAAAACCCCTAGAAACTATTCAATTACCACGGTTAAATGTAGCTCGTGGTAGATAACATTAATTCACCACGGTCAAATTCTGGTCCGTTGTTAAAAGTAAATAATCTACAACGGTTTTTAATCCCGTGATGAAATATCAAAACCACCACGCGATATGCTCGTTGTGGTTACTTCAAACTACCACACAGCCTTTTGAAAATTCACCACGCCATCGGCCCGTGGTGGATTTTTTTTTTTTATAAATATTTTGAAGGATATTAAAATATAAAATCCCAATTATTTCCCCTCCCGTGAAACTGTGAAACTGGACGAAAACCCTAAAAAGAAAACGTCAATCCTTCTGTTTCTCCATCTCTTCCGTCTCCGCCGGCTGGTCTCAGATCAATATTCTGATTTTTCTGAAACGATGACATTTATCAACTGAGGTTATGAAGGCTTTACATATTCCTAGAGGAGTACGTCGTGTGCTTTTACGAACATCAAATACTGACAGGTAATATATTCGTTGTATTTTTGTTTTTTTTTACTCTCGTGTGTGAATCCACATCGGGGGAAGTATAATGTTTATATTCTATATCTTTTCCAATGTACTGCTGACTCCAATTTACAGTGCACAGTTTGTATTCTGTATTTTTATTTTCTTTGGTCGTCTCTCCAGTCATCTCTCCCTCAATCCGTGGCAACCTCTCTACATCACTCAGGTTTCTTTTATCCTATATCTTTTGATTTCGTTTTCTTGTTATGAATAAGCATTTAAATTATCATTGATCATCGAACTTGGAGATGTGTATGCATTCTTGTGGCTTACAGCTTGCAAATTTATCTTCCAGCATTTCGCTCTCACACATCCATCCAAAGGCACACACTTTTCACATCATCATCGTAAATATATAATTTTGAGTTGAGAAGTATATTTTTACTATTTTGTTCTTCCAATTCAATAAAAAAATTGTATTTCACGCCCCAAAATCAACCCCATGTTACGAGGATTGTGTCATGGAGCACACTTGCTTGAAATTAGGTTCCCTAACTGCATGTTTTTACTGTTTTGTTCTTCCAATTCAATAAAAAGTTTGGATGTTGCAGCTACTGCTGTATATACATATATATAACAACAACATTCAAACTAGTAAAGAGAAGAATGAACTTCTATATATATTATCAATGTAGTAATGAATAAATAGAGAATAAATGTATACAATTAATCTGTTCAGACCAAAAACAATGTACAATCTTTAAAGGCCAAACTGTATCATCAAAGTTGATCAACCTCTTCTTCCTTAAGTTTTGGTGTAATATTGGAAATTAGGTGTGTATAGTGCAGTAGTAATCAAAGTAAGAAGGGGTGCCCTTAATATACATATATACACGCGCATATATATATATATATATATATATATATATATATATGTATGTATGTATGTATACAGCACGAACCAGTTATATATAAGGAAAAAATATATGCAGTAGTAATACTTCGATCAATTGAAACTGCAAATTCGACTATACTAGTGTAAATGTTGTAAAGAAAATGCTTGTTCACTTTTTTTATATAATATTTTCCTGCTAATTCACAGCAAATGATCTCTTTGCTAATTCACAGAAAATGCTTGTTGACTTCTTTTTTTATATAAGATTGATTGCTAAGAAGATGGTTTCTATGTGTCTTGTTTGTATGAATCGTATGTACTAGCAAATGGTTTCGTGTATGTATTAATTTGATATTTGTAATTTAAGTTTTGATACAAGTTATACTTGAATAAATATATATAATATGTGTGTATGTGTGTGTGTGTGTATATATATACATATCATATTTTAGTATATTTTGCCATTAAGTTGTGAGTTGTGGTTATTTTAGGATTACTTTTGAGAAGCATTGTTGGAAACGATCATTGTCAACTATCTGATTGCAATGGACAAAGATTGGCTAACATTTTCGAGGTATATTATCTGCCTCAATGAATTTCATTTTTGACATTGATAACTAGGGTCTGTTTAAAGTGATTAAGATTTATTTATAATACAGACCATCAACAGAATACAGAGAGGGTGCACAAAAGTTTGTACAAGTAGCTAAAGAATATGGAGGAAATCGAGATAAGATCATTTGCCCGTGTATAATATGTCAAAACCAATGTTTTCAACTACCTACGATTGTGTATGAACACTTGATTATGAATGGAATAGATCCTTCATATACTACTTGGGTGTTCCATGGTGAACAAGAACCTATTCTTCAACAACATGACTATGCCAACGTGACAGAAACATATCAGATGTATAGGGATGTCTTGGCTGAAGATGATGGAACCGGAAAAGCAAATTTGCTAATTGGAGATGAGAATTTCAAACAAAAGGTTGAAGAAGCTGAAGCTCCTTTATATGAAGGTTGTACGAAGTACACAAAGTTGTCAGCAACTGTAGTTTTATTCATTTTTCTTTTAATCTTGTAAATGATTTTTAAATGTATAGGATGACATTAAGTTGGCTAATGAAATGCCAACAACAGACAATGGTTCTATAAAAGAGGATGCCTTATCACAAGCACTTGGACCTGAACATCGAGGTCGACTTCGAGGAGGTGGTTACGGGGTTACACCTTCTAGATACAATGCCCAAACATATGCCAGCATGAGTAATCGAGAGCTTAGAGACCGACTACAAAATGTCGAAGGAAAATTGCGGGAAGTGTTTGATCTTGTGTTGGCTAAACAACAAAATGAGGTAATTATATATGCAACTTTGTATATACTTATAAAAATGATAAAAGATTTACGGCATATCACTGCAGGGAAATATATTCTAACTTCTAATCATATCGCTGCAGGGAAATGGTAAAGAAACTAATACCAATGATGCAATTCAAGTCTCCACAAATAGGCCTCAGGTAAAAATGTGTCATTAGTAAATATAGGTATTTTGTTGAATCTGAAACTGATCAACTTCTATTTCTTACGTATTCACTAGTCACAGGGAGGCAGTATAGATCTCCAAAGAACTAAGAATGGTGTAAAACAGGTTACCAATTCCAGTTACCAGGTTTCCAGATCATCTCCCTAGGTATGAAACTGATTTTGTTTAAGTTGTCTCGATGTCTTCATCATTAGATAGAAGGAAAATAGTGAACGTGTTCTTAGGAAAACTGATATTTTCTATAAGATGTATGTGTGTGGCTCTGTAAGATATATGTGTATGGTTGTTTTTTTCTTCAAATCAGAATTAAATGAAAACGAAAAACTTCTCACCATAAAGTCTCTAGCATGTATTGTTCCCATCTCCACCAACTGACCATTCTCTAATCCCAGTTGTTTCACTATGTATTCTTTTGCTCAGCCAATTTCCATCTTTGTGGCTCCATTGGCGGCAGAGCAAATTTCGTTTTTGTTATTAGATATTAGATTTTTTTTGTTTTGTGAGGTCATTCCTGTGTACAAATATACTAAGACATAGCAGATGTTGATAATTAGATTGTTTTTGTTTTGTTATTAGATACAATGTGATAGAAGAAGTGCACGAGAAGTTGACGATGCTTCTAGACAAGCTTCCAAAGCTAGTTCCCAGGTATTCGAGAACAAGTACTAAATAGTTTGCTTATGAAACTTATGAGATTTTGATATAAACTGATCGAATTTTGTGTCTTCCATGTTTGGTTGTCACAGAAAAGTAGTCCAAACATACAAAGAGACATCATTAAGGGAAAAGAAGGTTCTAAAGCCACTTCTCAGGTAGTAACACACGCTTGATAATAATTGTTAAAGTTTGATAACTTAATCATTTAAAATTGATGTTCTTATTTGATTTCTTTATGCTAGTTACAACCTGTTGGTATTTTACGAGGGTCTTCATGCAAGTTACTAAATTGGCTCGGAAATGGACAAGTTGTTGCAACTGGAGAAATAGAATCAACAAATCCTGAGGCGAAAGTTCATCACATGGTGCTTGGTCCTGATTGTTGGAAAGTTTGGGTAACTGTTGTCAGAGTGGAGAATATATCTTTGTACCGCCCTACAAGTGAATTTCGTGTCCTGGAGGATGCTATATCTAGTACAATTGCCTGGCCATCAAAGTACGTCCAAGTTGGAGAGTAATTTTAGTTCGTACTTAGACTAGAAAATGGTACTTTGGCACTACATGGATAGTACTTTATGACTTCCGTTGTTTATGTATTCATTAGGCACTACATGGATAGTACTTTATGACTTCCATTGTTTATGTATTCCTTTGGAAACTCAAGTATTTTTAAATTATGTTATAATAATATCAAGTATTTTTTATGTAGTTATTATATTGTAGTAAATATGCAATTTTGTTGGTTATTCTGTACTAAAATATATAAATACAGATATATATATATATATATTTGTTAAATATTTTTTTTTAATTTTGGAAAATAATTTATAACGGGCATTAGCTGTGGTCAATTAGTAATTGACAACGGTCATAGCATGTGGTGTTAGATCTCAATCTATCCCGGGTACAATCCGTGGTTATATTACATTTGACAACGGTCATAGCCCGTGGTAGAAACTAAGACTTTTTATCACATCCAGAATACTAACGGGCACAGTGTCCGTGGTGGATTGCAATTTATCACGGGCATTCACCGTGATAGATGAGCTTGGTAAATAAATAATGTCACCCTTCCTACCATCGAGTTAAGACGTGTACTCGACCAGATGCCAACTCAGATTACAAGTCAGCAGAGCTGAACAGGGACGAAAGCAGCTGTTCAATTCATGCAATGGTTGGGAGGAAGAAAACATCAGAAATAGAAACGTCAAAGTTGGCAAAAAGCCAGTTTATATTTCCCTTTTTGTATTCCTTGCGAGTTTAGTTATCCTTGTTTAGGTAGGTAAGCCTCATACTTTTCTCCCAGTTACTATCGGAATTTACACTTTCCTAATCAGTTAGAGATATATATGTCACTATTTAAACACACTTAAGTTGTTTATGTCACTGTTCTATCCTCTACACGATCAATATCAGTACCAGCTATCAACAAACAACAGCACTTACTTCCCAGTACTGTAACGAAGTTCTAGCTAGCTAGAGATCGAGATAGCATCATCACATTCAACAATGGCAGCAATGTTCACAACATATTTTTCCATTCTTTTTGGTCCCAACTCCTGTTTCTCCTTCATGCGATTAGCTGCGCTCTTCGTCCACGAGTTATTATCCATCGTCGACGAAAACTCCACTGTTGGGCACCCGTGGACGGGTTTTTATCAATATTTTTAATGTGTGTGCGAGCTGGAGTACTCCTTGGGCTTCAAAGCAGCAGGCACGCGCTTTGTTTACGAAGGCAATTTGTATGGTTATGTAATTAACATAATAATAAGATCATGTTCAGTTTAACCATAATTTATCTGCATCGTAGAATACAAAAGACAATATGAAATGAACGTCTATGTTCAGTTTAACCATAGTTTTCTCGAACAAATATAAAAACAGTGAACATGGGATATGCCAGTTAAAATTTGGTGACTTAATGACACTGGTATAATGCCACATGGTGTCAATAAAATAAAAATTTGTGAAAAAATTTGTGCACACGTCCTTATTAATTGGCACGTGACGTCACATGGACACATAAAGCAAAATAATATATGTGCATGTACGTATGTATGCAAAATTACTAATCTTGGTTTCTAAAGCATGTGGAAATGATGTTGCAAGGTATTAAAGCTAATTAAATAAACTGAAAATATGACTTTAGTCCTTGCAACTCAATTTTCTCCACTTAAAATCCAACATAAGTTTTTTACTCGAATAACCCATTAACTAGATTCCAAATAAGCAAATTGATTAATTATGTTTGAGCAGCTCACACAACCTTAATCTACAAGAAGTTGATCTCTACCTCTGTCAAACCCTTGTGGTCCAAGCAATGGAAATATCGCAAGTTTAGCCAACATGGACATAGCAAGAATTGGCTTAATCCACATCAAGTGTTTCTAGCATTGGTTATTCTATACAGAAATCTTGGTGTAAAAGGTCATGATGTAATCTGAATCCTTAATACGTGGAAATTACAAAATATCTTGCCCCATTTTTTTATGTCTAATGTTTACTTCGAGTTTCTTTACAACTCAATAAGTTTTCAAATGTGTTGATCTCTTAATTAGCTAAAACTGTACAATATAATTAGGTAAATAGCATTATTGTGTAACCCTAAATCCTAATCCGGCCCTGATTTGCCCCGTTGACAGTCCTGCATATATAAGACATGAAACTCAAATTTGATATTTGGATTCATGAATAAGGTTATCTTATACCATGGAAGTTATATAATGATTTGGGAAAACTCTTTGGAATTTCTGAAACGGAGGATTTATAGAGGAATAAAGATTAATCTGAAACCAATTAAAGATAGCTATATATATATATAAATACATAACATATCATCATCACTTCTAAAATATGATCACTGTATGCGTGTGTGTGTCTATATATCTTTCACGTCGTTACCAGCATTCCCAACTATGCAGCTCGATATATGTTTGATTGTGATTATCAAGCAAGAAAATCGCGGTCTCATTTGCTTTCCACACACAATTTCCGTTGCAGTAATCCATTAAAGCGTATCTAACAGCAAAGGCATCAAATCTTTTATGTCCTCGACTCCATCGTGTGTCGCAAAAGAAGAGAGTACTTCTCCAAATGTTTATGTGAAACTTCCAACTGAACTCCTGGTTCACTGGGATATTTCGATCCCCTAAATCATTTTCCTTGGATTTACAATGAACTTGCAATGTCTCGCTTTGGAAGCCGTTGACGATATGCACCCGAATCTTCTCGAATGCCTTATTGTCTAGGGCGGATTGGCTCGTCAGAAGACCGATAAGCAAGAAGAAGAAAATGGAAATGCAGGTTTGGCAAAGTTTCATTTTCATTAGGGTCGATGCTAGTTTGGATGAAATAATGTGCTTCTGATTCTCTCTAGCTTTGCTTATAAAGTGATTAAATTTAGCGCGGAACAGTAACATTGACACATGATGCATGCCACATGCATGATTTGTGCAACTTGGTAAGAAATTTTTTTATGCAATCTCTCTCACAATACTGTTAGATTCACATTAATGGCGTGCGTTAGTGCAGAGACAATTAATTTCCTAGACGGCTTAAAAACTTGGTTTAGATTACAGAGGAGTTAGTGACCGTTTTGTACTTAAATAACAATTAGGTCAATAACAATAACATGTGTTCATTTGACATCAGTGTTAGGTGGCTGTTTTATACTTAAATAATGCAATTTACATTTCAAAATAAGGGATTTTAAAATAATGAGATTATGTTTAATTTTCATCTATATATAGTAACTAATAAGATTATTTTTTAATTCAACTATATATAGTAACTGTTGAGATTTAGTCCCACATTGATGGGAAGAGGGACCTTGCATGAGCTTCTAAGAGGTTAGGCTACTCCCCATATTGCCAATTGGTTTTATGGTGGAACCTCAACTTTTTTCATAGTATCAAAGCAGATTGTCCCACGTGTGAAGCCAAGAGCCACACGCGCTCCACGTCACCTCGTTGTGTTGTGGCCACACGTGCTCCACGTCATCCTGTTGTGTTGTCCACGTGTTAGGCTTGAAAATTCGCCACATGTGAGGGGGCGTGTTGAGAATTAGTCCCACATTGATGGGAGGAGGGACGTTGCATGGGCTTATAAGAGGTTGGGCTACCCCTAATGACACGCCCCAATCACGATGTCCGAGGGACATCGAGATGGCCACGTGCTGGCCGACACCCAAGGGTGACGAAAGCCATTTAATGAATGCATATGCTAAGAACATGTAAAACATGCGTATAAATTATAGCAAAATAATAAGATGTGACTATTCATTTCTGCGTGAAAATAATGATAGTGCATGACATGTTCAGAGCATAC